TATCCAATCATCGACCCCTTTCGTTCTATTTTACCAGTCGACACTAATTCAACCAATAAAAATGCAACCTAAAAAGGCGAAAAATGCGACGTTGGACATGTAGGATTGCAGCACGTTCGTGCATCTGAAAAGATGTGAGGACAAGTACTTTCTATATTAATTATCCAAAGGGCGTAAAATGCGAACTTTTAGATGGGAATAACTTAAATTTGTATAGTATAGTTTACACAGGTGCTTCGCGAAAGGGTTAAGTTTACCTATAAATAAAAATCAGTCTTAATCGTACCCTCAAGTGAGTACTTCGTCCCCTCAGACCAGGGACGCGTGAACGGTCGTTCACTTAGAGTCTGTATACTCTTGGAAGCCAACTTCCTCTGCACAAGGTGCTGTGTGACCCCGTCACAAGAATGTCAACTCGTTGAGCGATGCTCCGCCGGCTAAGCGACGTAAAACTATGGTTTGGTTTACAGACGAACTTGATTTCCAACTAATCCAGGAGGCGCAAACGAGAAATCCGTTTGGCGAGGACTACGGGAAGAAAACACAGGCGTGGGCTGATGTTGCTGCTATGTTAGGAGTAGGCGTGGATGGTCACCGCTGTCGTGAGCGCTGAAATCAACTCCTTGATGCATACGAGGCTAAGCGAAAGGCAAGCGAACGGCACCGTGCGAAGATTACACGCCGAAGGACGAGTGTCTAGCTGACTGGTTGGAGATGCGCGAAATGGAGATGCTACTCAAAAATGACAAGAAGCAGCAGAAGGACCAACCGCAGCAAGAGGACGGCCAAGCTATTGCTATCCGGGACGCAGCAACGACCGGGATGAAGCGTGGGCAAAGGAAAGGAGGAGAATCATACCACCACCAGCAGCAGCAGCTCTTGGCGTACCTTGAGCAACGTGATGGCGTTGCTCATGAGATGGACAAGCGCAAAATTTCCAATGAGAAAAAGCGTCTCGCTCTGAAGCAATGCCGTCTTGAGCTACAAGAACTCCGGATGAAACTAGAGCGGAATGAAAGACTTGCATTCATTGACATGCTTAAGACAGTGATCAGCAAGTACAATTCGTAGCTATGTAGCTAGTCTTACGTATTCTTCCAAACTGGGCGGCTTAATCGAAAACAAACTACTGATCTGGTTAGGATTCGTGCAGTTGCGAAAGTTTTGTTAGGAGCGCACCAACCATGAAGTGTGTTCCCACCGGAGATAGATACAGCTTTTGACTTAGCCTCGTCTCAAGAAACGGCTAGAGCCGAATGATACCGCCAAATCCCCACTCCACCGCAACTGGAACTTTGCTCATTGCCGTATTAAATTCCATTTGCGCTTCTGTAAGCTTCGAGCCCTTGAATCCGACTTGCAAATTTGGCTTCAATGGGTAAGCTGGGTCGCCGTAGATGCAGTAAGGTGTGTTATCCCCACGTAAAGGAGCTATTCAACAGTCCACTCTGTCTTAGCAGCCACGAGTCATGGCGGCGGCCAACTCACGGCCCATAAAAGTCGATGAAGAGACCATCACACCTTGGTATTTTAAAGCATGTTTCCTTTTGTGGCCGTTGTAGACTTGATTTTGATTTCTCGTGGGGCGAGCAATACCACGCACAGTACCATTAATAAACCCGAGACATCTTGGCTCTGGTGCTGCCCGTTGCCTCACAGCAGCAGCATATGCTTCCAGCCTCGAAGTTGTCAGTAGACCGCTTTCAATCGCAAGAAGGCTTTTGAACTAGTCGTACACTAGCCGCAGCATAAAGTTGAAAATCATCCAGATGACCGGACCCGATCCTCCAAACAAGCAGCACAAGTCACCATAACGGCCTGGATATGTCATGCGACGCAAGAGGATGCAAAGCTCTTCAAAACTTGAAAACGAAACTTGATTAGGAAGTCGATAGGTGTCCCCTAGGTAGAGTGCTGTGGATAATCGAAAAAGATCTCGTTTCCAGAAGCGAAAGTAAAATCTTGTCTCGAAGTCATTCAGGGAATTGATATTGAAGCGGCACTGTAGGTATTGCACCTAGGAACTTCCTTTTCTGCGATGTGTTGGGCAGGGGAAAAGTTAAAGAGCACCCTGAGCGGAGCACCCGAGCAGAAAAAATGTAAGCAAATGGCTTTAGTAAGTTGAAGTTTTTGGAATTAAAAATATCTTTTTGACCGTAGATTTCGTGGTATTTATCTTTCCTACGGAGAGGACGAAAGCCCATATCGTATAACGACCCAATATTCTATAGCTAGACACCACCAACCTTCGATTCACTATGTCCACTACTGCATCTGCTTCCTCGACTGAGATTGAATTATCGCCGGGTGAGGTGAACGGACAGCAGCAGTGTCATCTCCCCGCAACACCCGAAATGGTGTACGAGTCTGAAGAAGCTGCCGAAGCCGCGATTCATGCTTGAACCAAAGCACATCGATATAATGTGTCAAAGAAAAAGTTGGCTCTAAAAGGAGAAGAAAAAGTCCGCTACCGCTTGTACAAATATGACCAGGCTGGTAAGCCGAAAAACAAAACAAGAAAAATTAAGGATTCAGACCGCCAGCGCCCAATGGTAACGTCAAAGCGCTGTGGTTGTAAAATGCGCCTAAGTGTTGTGGCGGTCGATACATCGGCTCCAACAGGACCGTGGCGTATTGTACATACAAAGGACAGCAGTCAGACCCATAACCATCCTGCTGTTTCAGACGTCCGTGTCCATGTCTCCCACAGACAACGTGATGCACGACGAAGGACCACTAAAGACATGTCCACGTCTGCTTTAGTCTGTTTGCAGGCTAAAGCTGGGGTTTCAATATCTAAAAATCTATGCTACCATGATAATGGCCGATGAAGACTCTCTTGTTATCCTGTCGGATATTGCCAACACCAAGAAAGCGTCACGGTTGGAGCTGTTGGCGGCACAGACCACTACAGAGACGCGAGCAAAACGCTGAAGCCTTCCACATTGCATTTCTACCACCTCGAGCATGGGGGTACGCTGGCAGCGGGATCTGGATGACTAGTTTTCTAATGTGGTGGTAAAATATTTTATATCGCATCTTACATGATTTAATGTTAATCAGAAAACAAGGATACGTCTATTAGATCTTTAACTTACTAAAATCATGTGCTTACAAATTTTCTGCTCGGGTTCTCCGCTCAGGGTGCTCCCTAACTTTCCCCGTTGGGCAGAGTCACTTGAAGCCGGCAGGAATATGGCTTCTTCCTTCGAAAGTACGCCGCGCTCAAGAAGACATGGAACGAAGACAGATTTCATATTAGGAACTGATACAGACGTAGAAGTCGTAGTTGCGAAAGATCATTCTAGAACTTTGACGGACGATTACATGGCCTCTCTGTGTGCCACCTCTCGACCGTCGCTATCCCTCTCAAGTTCAGCTTGCGAAACCTCTCTATTGGAGTATGTACTTCTAACACTTCGTTGGCTCATGCATACCAAATTTCTAGCAATCGAAGCGAATAACGGGCTGTGACCGCCTGCTTATTTTTTCTTTTAGTTTAGGCTGACAACAACTATCCGACCTAACTCCAGGTCATGTCTGTATACGACAAGAAAACTCTTCCCTATCAGCGAGTACGAGTACCTGCGTGATGACTGTAGGCATGAGTATGTCTGAGACAACTAACACAGGTGGGCTATTAGTCTAGATGGTATAGTTATTCTCCAGTCATTTATTTCATCAAAGGGGCATCTTATTTCCTACCCTGCGTGTTCATGTTGCTTTCTCCGCGTGAGGACATGAGGTAGGTGACTATTGAAAAAGCTCCTTTGATAGACAGCCTTCCCTGCTTGTTAGATCCAGTAATTTGGAGGTGAGGTAGCTTTTGTCCCCCCCTGCATTTTTACTCTCAAATTGAAGCCAAAACCACTTCTCATCGAACCATCTATTATAAGTGCAAATCGAACACGGCCTAACACTGTAGTTTTGAAGTATTGTAATAAGCAAAGAGTAACAAAAAACATTTTTCCGTTTCAAAAATATATTTGCTGTTGAGTGACCAGAGAACTATAGTTTCTGGATGAATTGGTCTTCAGGATGACCCAAAAATATGTTCCAGTGAAGTAACGAAGGGTCGAGTTATTCTATTATCGGAACATCTATTGGTAACATATCCGTCACTTATTCAGATTTTATCTATTTAAAGAGTGGACAGAAATTAATTTGGCGTCTAAGCTTGATCACATTTCACGCTCATATTTCACGTGTGATCGCATATCAGCTAGTTGCTGATACGTTCGGTGATTTATAATGACTGGTTTGTAAACAGGTTTTATCTTTTGGTAAACAAAACCCTGTGGTTGCTTTGAAATATTTTATACAATTGAGAGTGTATCATTAGAGAGCAAATGCAAAACCTCTAAACGTCTATATCTATGCAGTCCTTGAAACGTTCCTTGTCTATAAGCAACTCATCTGGTAATTATTTTGAACGTGATTGCTTGTGTTTTAGCGCGAACAAACATTCCGTTTAATGGGTAATAGTATTCTTTTGCTTTATCCTTGTGGTATTTCGAAAAATGACTCAAATTTCCACAAGTTACGGTAACTTGTAGCTTGTACCCCCCCCCCCCCCCCAGCCTCAATGCTATACATGAGAGCATAAAGCGAAGATTCACTCGCCCCATATAGACTGTTGAATGTTTCAGTAAACGCATGAAGCAGTTTGATGCAGTTTTCAAAGTTACTGCGTACCACGAGCCAGATGTGTCGAATTGTGTATAAAAAGTATACCTGAAGTACCTACTACAGATAGCATTGTCGAGGGCCCATATAACCAAATAAACGTTTATGTGGCTGTGTTCCTGCTATCAAGCTCGCCAGAATGGCTTGTAGCTACTCGTGAAGTTATAAGTGTTTTCACAAGGCTTCCCAAATCCATTCCCACATAAAGTTGTCCATATATACTTCGATGTACTTGAAAATGTCCGATAATACTTCAGACATGTTTTTTTTAGCAAAGGTCCCCCCTACCAATACTTGAAATATGGATGTTAGTAAAGATCTGTTCTTTTTTTTACAAGAAAATAAATAAAGCACGTTTTTAAAAAAAATATAGTAACTTCGGTTTAAAAACGATTTTTGAGGTCTGCGTTGAACCAAAAATACTGATACGCCTGTTATTCCTGGAAGCCAATCTCGTAGTATGTGCTGGCAGAGCGGCCAGCTTGCCAATGGGTGATATTACGAGAGCGTCGTCACAACGATTTGCGCACATCCACTTTGGCAAACCACCGTGTCCGTAACTTCTAACCAAAACGTTTTGGTCCGACTGGACAAGAGCAAGCACTGTAGCGCAGTGTCGCAGAACCCGGGGTAGTTGTTTCCAAAGAGGGAAGATCTATCCTGGAAGGACAGCTAGTAGAGCTGTATGGACAGCCTCACACAGATTAATTCGTTCCGGAAAAGTTGCCTGTAGCACAAGCAACTTTTAGACAACATCACGACACACAGGATTTACACAACTTATTGACACACTACGTGTACATATGTATACATAAGCGGGTCCTGAGCTCTTTTTATACCACGCCTCCAAACCCGCTTTCTATTGGAGGAGATAGCACTATTAATACCCGGTTATGGGATACCTAATGTTCGTTAAGTTCACACTATTCCTGAAATCAACAGAAAAAAAGCAAAATATACCACCTGCTGGCGTATATTTTGGAGGCAGCTGGTATGCATATGCTGATTTTTTTTTTAGTATGACCCGGAAAAACTACGTGATAGCATCCCAGAACGGATGTGTATACAATATGCTGGATCCGGGTATTGTGAACTAGCTCATTATGATACTAGGATCGGGCGAATCTTCCTGGATTTGGCAATGGACCCTCGATATTACCAGGATTTGTTTATTCCCCGTTGAGAAACAACTCCATCGAGTAAAGTCGTCAAGATGAGTGTAGTACCGGAGAACATGCACTAACATAAACCATGCGTTTATCGCAAAAAGGTTGCTTCAGGAAGTGAATGGGTGTAGCGGGTGCGTGAGCTAGCAGACGGTATCGACTGCGCATTCAATCCTTTGCGTAGGTCCTTGTGCCTCTGGTTTTTGTTACCAAACCTTCGGTTATGCTGTCCCTATGTTGGGCCTGTGTGTTATGGTTAATGCCATTCTTTCTGTCCGACTATGCGCTTAATGCTACATTCTTAGCAGTTTAATTCTGACTGTATTGCCTACAAAAAAAATTGCTGGTCAACATGAAATCCGCGTTTACTGTCTTCTGACTCCTACATAATGTTTCACACACTGCTGCATCCTACTTGGGGTTCGCTGCTACCTTGCGCTAATTCCTATGTCCTTACAGACAGCCTCTCGCAATCTTTGGCTCCATAGTACGTTCTATCTCACCGGATCCACAAGTCCATTCACATTTTTCCTTTTTTGCCTTGGCAGGAAGTTTTGGATGTCGTCTTGTCTTCTTTGTGTCTTTATTAGCACCACCACAAGCCACGTGTTTCGTATTGATCACATCATCAACAGTGACTACATCGTCAGTGCTGTTGCGACGTGACTCGGTGGTTGCCAATGCGTCGTCGTTGAATGCGACCTTCAACTCCAACGCTGCAGGAATAGGAGGGTCAATCACAATAGTTGATCTGCGTCCGGTTCCAACGGCAGCTCCGCCATACGTATCCACTTTTCCATGTTCAACGTCTAGAACATGATGCAGAGTCCCCAAACTAACGCGTTTTGCATCTCCTTGCCACAAAGCACGCTTCACCTGCACACGATCTGCATCTTCAAGCGTTTTGTCACGCTTAGTTGGGGCTTGGTCACTGCGTGGAACAATTCTCCCATTAGCCACGCCTGTGATAACACTGACAACCGCTACTTGTTGCCCATCTTGAAGATTGCATATGCCCCGGGTCGCGTGAAGTGGTAATCTACTAAAGGTAGGGGAACACATATGTCGCCGCGCGTCCGGCAGAACCAATTGCGTTGATGCTCTGACTCAGAGGTAGCAGGTTTAATAGCAATCATGCTAGCATGAATGATGGAGAGCGATCTTCCACCATATTCTGTTAAACGAAACTGGTAGGTAAGCACGGGCTGATAGTATGCCCCATTAAGGCGCTCGTCCACGTAGTCATCCCATATGGAGCAGACCACACTGGTGGTTGCATCGTCATATAGGACCACATCGCTCTTGTGCTGGGAACTGCCCTTAAGGGTGAGAATATACTCAGTGTCGCCGATACCACCTAAAACACCGCAAGCATTCACCACTGCGCCAATACGCAAAGTACCCTCGCGGCGCACCCCTTTCCAGTGCCGAGCAGGGGAAAGATAGACCACGCGAACCCGGGTCGCCCAGTCAGAGTATGTAGGCGATCATTTGCCAACCGGAACAAGCTTCATCACCAAGGCGGTCTTTTTAGAAAGTGAACCAACAAGCCCAACAGCCCGAGCGGGCTCCCATCCAAACCGTTAGAAACCGCTTGAATTTTGCATACCCGTGCTGTTGTTGCTGTTCATTTCGTCCACCGGCCGTACCCATTATCGGAGACGATCTTTATACTTCAGTGGACGCTGAGTATCGTCCCAGAAGCGTCGACTGCACGATGTACTTAAGATTGCTGGATGATCAAGAAGGGCCTTCAAGTCCCCGTCCCAACGGTGGAGGCAAAGCTCAACTGCTGCCACGTCATTTATATGGTAGCTATGAACCTGTATCATGATCTTAAGAGACGACGGGATGTTGCTGTGGCCAAGGCCAAGCATGACGGCGATTCACGTAAACGCGGTATGTGCAAGGATATTCCACGAAACGAGATCGTCCGAGAATTACGGAACCTAAAGCCGCAAAGCGGAATTATGTGCACGATCTTCGCGAATTAGAGGGTTCGATGCTGAGTGATTCGGCTGTATCAGTAATTGACGCAAGTTATTTGAACTCAGAGGACTTCAAATTTCTTCGAGATTATCAAGCCTTTACAAGGATCCTCGCTTGGCTCTGATATGCTATCATTGCTGCGATGCGACTCCGGAAGTGTTTGTAAACAACGATGAGCATTTGTGAAACGATGTTTCTGGATCTGACAAATGTGCTAAAGATCGATTACTTCGTGTGCTGGATGATCATCCTTGGTGCAATGAAATATCGTTTTTGTCAGGAATCAGTGGAAGCCCATGATTTGAATACCAGCAATATTTACGCATGCGCCTCTTGTTGCGAACTAATTGTTTGCAAGAAATCCCCTCCAGTGTTCGTTACTATACATGATCTTCCTACGACGTTTCGGCCAACCGATGCCAAGTTCCGCTTGCGCTACGGGAGTATTGGCGATACTATCCGTCGTAAACACTGTCAGTTGTTTGAAAAGGATGATCAAGTTTATTACATCAACCCGGACTTGGTAAATTACGGCAATGTAGTTCTATACCGCACATGTGCACGTGATCCGCGTTCTGTGACCTTCAGCATTGCAAACAACCATGACTATGGCCACGGCGATGAGCTTCCCGAGCTTAATGAAGTGGTCATGAACTGCATTTCACCTGTTCGCAAGTTTGTGGTGAAGTGACAGTTGGCTTCTGGGAACAAGGGACTGATTGATGGAATGTGACCCGATCCAGTTCTGAGACTCATGGTGGACGACGGCGCGTCAGTGATTACGTCATCATCTGTGAAGATTACATAAACATCGGAGTGGATCTACATGGCGCAATCATTTAGACACGCGATCTACCCTCAAGGTATTCGATCTACTGTGGACACATCAACTGATTTGTACCCATGGTAAGTACCACGCGACCAGGCTACAGAGGGGATAGAAAGGGCAGCTACAGGATGGGCAGAAGGTATTGGACCG